GTCTACACCGAACTTTCTACGGACTGAAACTTTGAAAATCACAGACAAAAGTATCATTAAAATACAGAAAGCAATATTTTAGTCTACCTAACAACAGTTGATAGGGCTAACAGGGCGTGTGGTCCAGTGGTTGACCCTCAAGCCTTAGGGTTTGGATGAGATAGAAGTTAGAATTTTAAGTTTTTTCATTGTCGTGTACTTCATCAATTTGTGATTTAATGGTCACGTGCCTCTTATGAGGGGGTAAATTATTTACCATTCTGAGAAGTTTCAGTTGCTAACAAGTAACTATACTAACTTTCTAACTATTATTTTTGTAAAAAAAAAAAAAAAAACAAACAACTGTTGATAGGGGGAAAGGTTCACAACATCTATCAATGGCTAATGTAAAGTGTAGTATACGCACCTTGTTACAAATATCTTTCTTAGATTAAATTTTCATATATACCTAGTCTTAGGCGTCTCTTACTTCATACTTCCACCTACACGTGTTTTGGATAATTCAAGTCATGAAATAAGGTCTCCATAGAATGGCTAAAGAAATTTCTCATCACATGTTAATGGAGTTTTTTCTACACAAATGAAATTGGAAAGACTCTTTATTGAAGAAAGAACTCCATCTACATGTAGAGGGGATTCATTCAATTCCTTCATAGAACATGAAATTCAATCAGAAATGTGTGAGACCAAAAAGATAAAACATTTAGGGACATGCCTAGAGTGAAGCCTGTGCACACATGCATGAGAACAGAATTGAAACTCCATAACTATTAGGTTCTTTACTATTCTCCATTCCAGTCGTGTTTTTCTTTCTGCTCTCAGAATCTGGAGCATGGCAAGAACTTGATTGAGGAGGAGCAACACAGCCATTGATAAACAGTGAGTTGGGTTCAGTAGCCGGCAGAGTCAGGGCAAGCTCATCAGGTCCAAAAATTATGGGACTAGAGGTATGGTTCCTCCCACATTCGTTGGCAGCTCTTCTCTCGACGGCAAGGAAGTGGCCTAGGGATGGAGGGTTGTTCATATCTGCAATCTCCGCATCTGTACTGTCCCTTGAACATAGAGAGAGAAGCCAAAATTTTGATTTGTTGCTGGTGGTGGTGGTGGTGTTAGTGTTCTTTTTTTCCTTTGATGATTCTGCTTTTCTTCCTCTTATTGATCTCCTGGAAAGCTCCACAATGCTAGAAACACCTATAAGGCTCCCAAGTGTTGTGCTCTTGTCGTGGAAGAAAGACCCTGTAGACTGAAAACCAATGATAATAAAGTAAGATATACATTTGCATATTAAGCTGAATGACTCCATACCGTTTAGAAGTACACAAGACTGAGATCCATTCTTTACAGTAAACTAACAAATGTACTGAAGCGTTTCTTTTTCTTCTACACTTCTTGTTTATATCATGAAATTGGGGGATTTGAAAATGGAAACTTTTGGATCTTAGGTTGTCTATCGTTAAAATTTTACGTCTCAGGATCATAAGCCTGTACTCAAGGCCGCATGTTACTAACTCCGCCACTTGGATTAATTATATTATAATTAACATAACACCAAATCTAAGCAAATATGGATTAATTATATTCTAAGATAATAAACGAGCAAAAAGGCTCCTAAAACTTGAAATCTCTTAATTATTAGCACATTTAATACGAAAATAAGTCCATCTGAAACCTCATCAAGGATCATAATATGGTGTTAATTGCCCATTAAGCCATTCATTTAAATTAAATTCTCCAGCAAAATTCCAAAACTTCGAAGCATACTTAATAATGTTGGTTTACATACGACCCTTGGAATGTGAAATCCTAAGACAATGAAAGAGACAAGAATAGTAAGAAGCTTCAAAAAAAGCAAACTTTTTGAATGAAATATCAGTGGCTTCTGCTGACCTCTGTGTCTAAATCTGATGAGGAATCCGAAGAGGAAGATGGAGAACAAGTGAGTGTTGTAGCATTGAATGATATTGATCCTGAAAAATGGTTGTTTCTGGCCAACCCAACTCTCACATTCAGAGGCTGCAAACCCAGGGGCCAACCCTCTTCCTACAATCAAATCAATCAAGAAAAGATTCCAAATTTCAGTACTTGTCTACAATCAACATCACAGGACAAGAAAATAAACAAAGGAACTCTGCTGCAGAGAGAAAACAGAGGCAATAAGACAAACAAAGGCATCTTCTCAGAGAAATTATAAGAAGAAAACACAGATACCCAATAATGGGAATAAAATCTAGGAGACAACCCATGAGAGAAAATGTAAGAAAAAGAGGGAGAAGACAAGCAAATACCTGCCGAGCCATATGCAAAAAATACTTGTTTCCTTGTATGGTTGTGTTGATTGATCCTAGTAAAATGAGAAGAAGTGTCTTTTACATTGGAGTTTTCTGCTCTGCAAGGAAAACTCACATCTAGCTTCAGAGCTTACTGAGAATTTGGGCAAATTAACCCAATATAGAGGCCCTCACATATACAGCTGTCAGAGATCATTGCTCTTCATTCTTGAGGGAGAGTAAAAACAACGAGTAAGAAATGAGTATTGAGGACTTATCATTTGGAAGTACCCGTCTCTTCTTTGCTTGGTTTGGTAGAGGTTAAAAAAAAAAAAAAACGAAAAATGAAAAATGAAAAACAGAATCATTTTGTACCTTGAAAATAAATAAAATAACATGAGGCAAAGGTTAATGAAAGGTTCAAAAACTGCCCTCCAAACTTGCAACTACACCCATCTCGCAATTATCAAAAGAACAACACAAAAATGTTGAGAAAAGTTTTTAATCCATCACATCAAATTTCGGTGCCCAAAAAAATAAAATAAAATTTTTAATTGTAATCTCGAGTGATTAGTGG